TTTCCCGCCGCTCGCAGTCACTCCTCCGCCTCCCGTTTTCATTATTCGTTACTCTTGCGAGGCATTCGTGTTTCTCCGATTCGTCTTCTCAAGAGGAAGCAGGTTTTCTTTCCCTCGCGTTTCCACAGTCATGTTGTTGCTTCGTCGGATCATTAGAGTCAGGCAGCAATCCTCAGTCTTTGCTCAAGGATTTTCTGAAAGTCCGTTGAAATCTCTCAGATACTCATCGACTTCTTCTGAGATCGCATCATCTCCAAAATCTGCATCGCCGGATTCTAATTCTGTCGAGCCAGAGAACGATGAGAAGCCTGTAATCGTGCTCTTTGAGAATCATGGATTCTCAAAAACACAGATCTCTGAGATTGTCAAGAAATTCCCTCAAGTTCTTTCAGCGAACCCCGAAAAGACGCTATTGCCAAAATTGTTGTTCTTTCAATCGAAAGGCCTTTCTTCCCCCGAGATTGCCAAATTAGTGTGTAGTTTTCCTTCGATTTTAGCGCGAAGTTTAGACAGAAAAATCATTCCAGCTTTTGATTACATTCAAGAGCTACTTCAAACTGAGAAGAAGACTATTGCATCCATAAAACGGTGTTTTTGTCTTCTCACTTGGGATCTCCAAATTTATGCTCGTCCCAATGTTGAAACTCTAATACAAATTGGAGTACCTGATTCCAACATTGCAACCATTCTTCACTACCAACCACGAGTGTTCTTGATAAACGCCGTCCGATTCAAGGAGATTGTGGAGGAAGTTAAGGAAATGGGATTCAATCCTCTGCGACTGAATTTTGTTATCGCTGTTTTAGCCATGCGAGCAATGAGCAAATCTACATGGAGAAAAAAAGTTGAAATTTACAAGAAATGGGGATGGTCTGAAGAAGAGATTCTCTTCGCTTTTCGAAGGCATCCATGGTGTATGATGGCTTCCGAGGACAAGATCAATGGTGTAATGGATTTCTTTGTGAACAAGATTGGATATGAAATTTCATACATTGCAAAGCGACCTGCTCTGATTTCACATAGTTTAAAGAAGAGGATTGTGCCAAGAGGCTCTGTTTATCAAGTTTTGCTGTCAAAGGGTTTGATTAAGAAAGATGTGAATCTTCCTTTCCTGTTTGAGGCTACTGAAACCCAATTCTTAGACAAATTCATCGACCCTCATAAGAAGCTGATTCCTGGATTGTTGAACTTGTATAAAGAGAAATTGGAGGATGCTAAGAGATAGCAGGTTCAATCTCCTTCTCTAAATATTAATATTGACCTGTTTTGCTTGTTCATATGTCTATTGATATCTAAAATTGATGTATGTTCAAGAGCTTGACTAAATGATGGGTTGAGCTGAATTGACTATAGCACGTTGTAACAATTGATAAATGGAGTCAGAGGATTCAAATAGGTCTAAACTAGCTTTGGCTTTATTCGAGTTGATTGTTGACTTCTTTTCTTCCGCTAATTTTGAATTATAATTTTACGTAGTGTTTCTAGTTGATATGTTACCTAGTTTGTTTATGTGAGATATCATATCGGTTGGAGAGGGGAATGAGAGATATCGTATCGGTTGGAGAGTCGACAGACCAACTTAAGTTCTAAATTGAAACTCCGAAACATGATACTTTTTCAGATATAGACAAATGGAAAGTCGACAGACCGAATAAATCTTGCATAAGTCATCCTCCATCACGAACATACATACCTTCTGCTTGCTTTTGCTAGCATCTTCCACGTATTTACTTGAGAAGGCCTCATTAGCAGAAGATAACTGCTTATTAACACTTCTGGACTTTTTTTACGGGGCCATGAGCTTTACCAAACTGAACACACATATAAGCACTAGAGTCTGTTATGAATTGGTTGAAATTCAGGAGCATCAAGTCCACTATAGACATGTTCTATCACACTAATTTAATATCCGTTGAAGTACCAGTCCGGCACTTACATTCACCGAAAATCCTCTTCATAGAAACCATACTGTTAGAGCATGAATAGTTATTCGTTAAAGCACGAGAGAAAAATAAAGCAGCTGATTTTTTGAGCAGTTATACAAAAACTCGAAATAGAAAAACACTGCCTAGAAGAAACAAAGCAATATTTGAATGGGTTGAATTTTATTATAAAATAATAATATTTAAATAAATTCAACTTAGTATATGGCAATTACATTTTAATTTTTTTTTAAATCAATTAATCCTATATTTAGTCTTCATGATCGTATGTATGCTTATAATTTACCCTGGCAACCCTAACCCGCCTCCTATTCTTTCCAGCAGCCATTCTCTCATAAATCCCCTTCCCGCCGCTCGCTGTCACTCCTCCGCCTCCCATTTTCCCCCTACCCCGCCGCTCGCTGTCGCTCCTCCGCCTCCCATTTTCATTATTCGATACTCTTGCGAGGCATTCGCCCTTTCCCGCCGCTCGCTGTCACTCCTCCTCCTCCCGTTTTCATTATTCGTTACTCTTGCGAGGCATTCGTGTTTCTCCGATTCGTCTTCTCAAGAGGAAGCAGGTTTTCTTTCCCCTCGCGTTTTCACAGTCATGTTGTTGCTTCGTCGGATCAATGTAGTCAGGCAGCCATCATCAGTCTTTGCTCACGGATTTTCTGAAAGTCCGTTGAAATCTCTCAGATACTTATCGACTTCTTCTGAGATCGCATCATCTCCAAAATCTGCATCGCCGGATTCTAATAAAGTCAAGCCAGAGAACGATGAGAAGCCTGTAATCGTGTTCTTTGAGAATCATGGATTCTCAAAAACACAGATCTCTGAGCTTGTCAAGAAATTCCCTCAAGTTCTTTCAGCGAACCCCGAAAAGACGCTATTGCCCAAATTGTTGTTCTTTCAATCGAAAGGCCTTTCTTCCCCCGAGATTGCCAAATTAGTGTGTGGTTTTCCTTCGATTTTAATGCGAAGTTTAGACAGAAAAATCATTCCAGCTTTTGATTACATTCAAGAGCTACTTCAAACTGAGGAGAAGACTATCGCATCCATAAAACGGTTTTTAGGTATTCTCACTTGGGATCTCCAAATTTATGCTCGTCCAAATGTTGAAACTCTGATACAAATTGGAGTCCCTGATTCCAAAATTGCAACCATTCTTGAGTACCAACCACGAGTGTTCTTGGTAAACACCGTCCGATTCAAGGAGATTGTGGAGGAAGTTAAGGAAATGGGATTCAATCCTCTGCGACTGAATTTTGTTCTCGCTGTTTTTGCCATGCGAGCAATGAGCAAATCTACCTGGAGAAAAAAAGTTGAAGTTTACAAGAAATGGGGATGGCCTGAAGAAGAGATTCTCTCCGCTTTTCGAAGGCATCCATGGTGTATGATGGCTTCCGAGGATAAGATCAATGGCGTAATGGATTTCTTTGTGAACAAGATTGGATGTGAACCTTCATACATTGCAAAGCGACCTGCTCTGATTTCACTTAGTTTAAAGAAGAGGATTGTGCCAAGAGGCTCTGTTTATCAAGTTTTGCTGTCAAAGGGTTTGATTAAGAAAGATGTGAATCTTCCTTTTTTGTTTGAGTCTGCTGAAAACCGATTCTTAGACAAATTCATCGACCCTCATAAGGAGCTGATTCCTGGATTGTTGAAGTTGTATAAAGAGAAATTGGAGGATTCTAAGAGATAGCAGGTTCAATCTCCTTCTCTAAATGTTAATATTTACCTGTTTTGCTTGTTCATATGTCTATTGATATCTAAAATTGATGTATGTTCAAGATCTTGTGCTGAATTGGCTGCTATTTAGATTGTTAACTAAATGATGGGTTGAGCTGAATTGACCATAGCACGTTGTAACAATAATAAAGTGGAGTCAGGGGACGAGAGATACTGTATCGGTTGGAGAGTCAACAGACCAAAATAGCAACTTAAGTTCTAAATTGAAACTACGAAACATCATACTTTTTCAGATATAGACAAATGGAAAGTCGAAAGACCGAATAAATCTTGCGTAAGTCATCCTCAGAAGGCCTCATTAGCAGAAGATAACCCCTTATTAACACTTCTGGAAGATAACCCCTTATTAACACTTCTGGACTTTCTTAACGGGGCAATGAGCTTTACCAATCTGAACACACATATAAGCACTAGAGTCCGTTATGAATTGGTTGAAATTCAGGAGCATCAAGTCCACTATAGACATGTTCTATCACACTAATTTAATATCCATTGAATTACCAGGCCGGCGCTTACATTCACCGAAAATCCTCTTCATAGAAACCATACTTTTAGAGCAAGAATAGTTATTCGTGAAAGCACGAGTTTAAACGAGAAAAATTAAGCAGCTGATTTTTCTGTTTCCTTTACCGAATTATCCCGAATACAAAAACTCGAAATAGAAAAACATTGCCTAAAAGAAACAAATCAATATTTCAAACAAAATTGCCTTTTTTCCCAGCTCGGTGTCACAATCGCACTTTTGAAGGCAGCGGACTTGCAATTGTGCAGTACTCACTTTCCAATGATAAGTGAGCTAAGCTAATTTGTTCTTGCGTTGCCTACGGCCAAGCGACGTATGCTTGAGTCTCTGGCCTCGGTTTTAGGAGAAGATTTTAGAAACCAGGGACGAGAGAGATTTTTGAAAGAAACGTTGTATAAGCAAGCAAGAGAGAAATAACAACGGCTCGCAATATATAACCTTGGGTAGTTTTTGAAAGAAACGTTGTATAAGCAAGCAAGAGAGAAATAACAACGGCTCGCAATATATAACCTTGGGTAGGGAGAAGTTGACAACTAGTCGTATTCCTCTCTAGTACATCATGCTATAGTGCATTATGATATTTCTGAAAGGTCATACTTCCTAGAAATACACATCATGATATTTCTGAAACGTCATACTTCTTAGAAAATACGAAAGTAAAACACTAGAATATAAAAAGACAAAGGGTTGGGCTTGTCATGGGCATGCGGCCATGGGCAACACGCCTTGGACGAGCATGACCGTGACACTCGGCTACACGTCAATTGCATAAGATAACTCAAAAGAAAACCGGAGTATATGGCAATTACATTTTAATATATATTATATTGTAAAATAATATTTAAATGGGTTGAATTTTATTATAAAATAATAATATTTAAATAAATTCAACTTAGTATATGGCAATTACATTTTAATTTTTTTTAAATCAATTAATCCTATATTTAGTCTTCATGATCGTATGTATGCTTATAATTTACCCTGGCAACCCTAACCCGCCTCCTATTCTTTCCAGCCGCCATTCTCTCATAATCCCCTTCCCGCCGCTCTCTGTCGCTCCTCCGCCTCCCATTTTCATTATTCGATACTCTTGCGAGGCATTCGCCCTTTCCCGCCGCTCGCAGTCACTCCTCCGCCTCCCGTTTTCATTATTCGTTACTCTTGCGAGGCATTCGTGTTTCTCCGATTCGTCTTCTCAAGAGGAAG